AAAAAATTAATGATATACATATATGATTTTCAAATGTTAAGGCAAGAAATTAATTTTATTGTGAAGTGTGACAATTAACTTTTTGAATTTTGATATAAAAGTTGTAGTACCATTATTCAACATTTTTAGGATTCAATGGTAATACCAACATCTTTTTAACACATATATTTGGAAGTATAAGACACATAAATTGATGCAATACATTTTAACCCTCTCATTGAATAAAAGAAATCTCAACGTAATAAAAAATGATTGTACTTATATTATAGAGAATCTAAGCACATTATTCAACATTATCAAAAGAAGCAATATGATTATAAAATAAATAGCATGGTTGTCAAAAAAGACAATGTCTTAATAAACAAGTTTATCCAACTATAATAAAAATTATGCAACTAGAATCTTGTCCAACATTTAGTTAAGGTTTTATTCTTTCTTCAAAATTCTATCTTTGTTTTATAATTGATGTTTGTTTAGGACCTAAAAATCACAAATCTTGTATTTTGTAAGATTTAAGAACTTCAACTTGTTTTTTTGGATGAAGATTTTATTAAATGACATAGCAAATTCTTAATTAAAAAAATTAAACTTGTGCATGTGAAATTCATAGGTGGTCATCATTTATTCTATATAAATATTACTAATGAAACTATTCATATAAATATAACAAAAATTTGTCATAATAGCTTAGTAGTATTTAATTTTATTAGTTCTCTCTATAATCTAATCATTTTAGATCTATTGTAGCTAAAACATTATAACTCTTAGATAAAATATATTTTTTATAATCTTAATTTTTTTATAGAATAAATAAAACTTTTGATAATCAAGAAATTATCCATAAGTCTAATATTACCAAATTCTTATTTGTATGTGCAAGTATTTTTATGCATGCATGTTGCAAAATATATATATATATATATATATATATATACATAACTAAAAAGACTTTAATTGGAATTCTAATCTAATATAAAAAATTCATAGATGTATTTAAATAACAAATGTAAATATTCTTCTAAAGCATTGTCTCTATGGTTGTTCAATTCATTTTAACCAATCTATAATTTATGGAAAAGTGCATTGGCTTCATTCAAAGAGTATATTAATTAAAATTTAGCTAAAAATTTCATATGCCACTGACAATCTCCAATAGAAACTCATATCGTGTTTGTAAAGAAAATAATGGATTATTGCAACTATGTATGAATTATCAAGAACTTAACAAGATTACCATTAAAAATAAGTATCTATAATCTTTGAAATCAGTAGTTTTTGATTAATCAAACTAAGCCAAAATTCATACCAAAATAGATCTATAATAAATATACAACTTTATACATTTTAAAATAAATAAATAAATATGAGACTATATTTCAAATTAAGTATGAATATTTTGAATTTAATTCCATGTTCTTTTGACTTATGAATGCTTCAACTACTTTTCAACATGTTATAAATAATATTTTTTGAAAGTTTTTGAAACATTTTTTTATCTAAACAATATTTTGATCTATTCCAAAAACTCAAAAGATCATATTTTTATAACACATGAAAAATCTCATATTTTATATTATATACAAAAACTATCACATATAAGAAAATAACTAAGATTTTTCTTCACAATAATTATTACTATTAAAGATTATCAAGAGGTATTATATAAAATATAGAAAGATTCAATTTATATTTAGATTTAGAAGAATACTTTTTAAGATATTGAAGATGGATATAAAATTATCTTTGATCTTCCATTTTTAAATTTATAGACAAACAAAGCAAGTGAATTCAGTATTGCAATAATACTCACAATGTAATATCAACTACCATTAGGATATTTAAATAACTCTTTTGACGTTGGAAAAATTTTCTTATGATAACATGATATATTCTTTTATTCAACAATAATTTTTTTACACTAAATTTATATTAAACACATTTTATAAAAAAAAAATATTGAAATGTATTGGACATTTTAATGAGTTTTGATGTCTTAAGTTTTGTATAGTTTGTTTGTTTTTATTTTAAATATATATACATATATATATATATATATATTTGTATCTTTTATTCTTTTATATTAATTATAATATAAAAAGTTGAAAAAATAATGCTTAAGTTGTTTTACATCCTCTAGAAATGATTAAAGTAAGTTGTTGATTCAAATAAAATTACTTATAAAAGAACAATAATTGTAGGTAGAATGCCATTGTGTTTGAAAATCAATCTTGTGGAGAGCCTAAGCCAACATATTACTTTATCAATGACACAATCCCAAATATATTGTAATAAAATTTACTAAACAAATATACAAATAATAGGATAATTAACAGCATATAATTTAAATATTTAATTTTATTTAATATATTTAAAATTATTTTTAATAGCTATAGAATATTAATCTTAAGCTAAGTATTTTTCAATCACCATATTTAGATTTAAAACCACAAACTTCTTGTAATGTGTTTGATATTTTAATAAATTCAAATGCATATAAAATGTCAAACAATAGAAACTCAAATATTGTACATTTAAAATATATGCAAACAAAGCATCTAAATTTTCTTGTACTTATGGTTCAAAATTATCAAAACTATAATAATTTGTTTTTAAAATTTTGAAGAAAATATTTTATGTTTAAAATATAAAATAACTTCAATAAATAAACTAATAAAGAAAAAAATCCACAATTCTTTCATAAATTTGAGCTTTGTTTGGTTTCATCTCTCATTGTTTTTAATCAAAAGTGAAGCAAAAGTTGAGTTATGCGATGATTCATAAGGTCTTAACAAAACTAAGTTAACTGATTTGCAGGGCCTTAACAACATATACGATTCACTTCTATCTCAAGAAAGTTGTTTCAATGTTTTGATGTTTGGGTAGGGGCATCACTCTTCTAAAATTAGTGTCATTTCTTTCAAAATTAGCGTCATTTCTTCTTTGTTTTTTTCCTTATTTTGACACTACAGTGGTGTGTTAGGATAATTGGGATTCTTTCATTGCAAGTGGATTATAAAGAGGTGCGATTTTATTTTATTTTATTTTATTTTTTTGAATCAAGTAATATTGATCTTTGGAGAAGTTATAAACCACACAATATGGTATTGTGAGGTATTGAGAGACTACAAGAACATCAGCATGTGTCCTCTATGACCAAATATACTATTAAAATTTGTTGCAACTTATGACTATGCTAAAATAGCTAGAGATGTTTTTGATTTGTTTTGAAAGAGCAAAATTGTGTATATTCTCACAATACATTAAACATGAGGTTGATTTGTTTATTTATTTATTTTTATTTTACCAATTGAGGCTTTGAGAGAGAAAAATTTTGTATTCAAAAAGCAGACAAGGTGAGAGTTGGACTGATTTGCTTATAAAGCCATCATCTGCCACATTATTCTAACCAAATCAATTATTCTACCAACATGCTCTTTGTGATACACAGACCAAGTTGTATGTCTTTTCTACAAAGACATTTCTCTAATAACCGGGTGTCTACTTTTATAATGTTTGAAAAACTTAGCTCTACTGCGTTACAAGCCAATGTTTGTGCATTATCTAAAATGGTTTCTTTTCTTTGTGATTTTTATAGTTCTTTCCAATCTTTGGACATCAAACCCACTGGGTGTAGATCTTTTTTCACAGAGATCATTGCTTCCATTTCTAATATTAAGTTTTTAAGGAATATTTTCCATGACAACAACATGGATTCAGCTAGTTTGCAATAAAATCAAAGTGGTACATGTGGATATGTGTGTGTGTGTATATATATATATATATATATATTAATTTGGTGTTTAAAAATTAATCTTAACTTGCATTGCATTACATGTAATTCAATCAGATCAAAATATTGGTTTTTATAAATACAAAAAGTAATCAAAACATCTTTTAATATTTTTTATAAGTATAATAATAATTTGATTATGCTTTTGATTCTTACTTGTGTGTCTGTGGTTATATATATATATATATATATATATATATATATAATCATATAAAATGAATGTCAATGATTAACTATTTATATGTTTTTATTCTATACTTTTTAAATAGAAGTATTTGATTGTAGGAAATTAATTGTATTAACTTCTATTATAATTTTTTTGGTGACTTTAATTTGCTTAGTGATAGATATGTTTAGAACTATGAAATTCAATTTCAAATTTTTCTCAAGTTAGCTCTAATGGTTCAAAAATGGTTTAAAAGTATAGTAAAACATTATGTTTTGTAAAATGAGTTCTTTAAAATAAAATATAAACACAATAGTTCTTTTTAATAATCTTCATTTGAATGTATTGTATTCAACCAAAAAATTTATATTTTTTTTGATATTATGACCATTTTTAAAGTCCATCATCTATGTTAAGAATATAATATTTTTAAGTAACTTAAATATGATTTCCTTCATTTTTTATAACTGATTAAATATTGAATAAAAATTGAATTAAAATGTCTCATAAATTTTATCTATCTTAAAATATATTGATGTATATATATTTTTATTAATTGTGAAAAATACATCCAACCCACAGAAATCAATTACAATAGGGTATACTTTTTCTCAACATTTACATTACAAAAGTCACAGGAATACTTGTGGATACATAATGAATAATGTTTATATAATTTATATAATGTTTATATAAATAATGAATAATTTTTATTTATTTATTTATTTATTTATTTATTTATTTCACAAAAATCTGAATAACCTTGTAAGAAACCTACATACATACATACAGAAATATAAAAGTAAGAAAACAAAAAAAAGTCAAGTGAAAACTTTTAGCCTTGATGCCCAACTTTATAAAACCACACGTGAGCTCACAACAAATCATCTCCGACCGTTGGATATCACCCCATGTGGGACAGCAAAATGGACGATCATGAGAACGAACAACATGTTTATCATCTACATATTCATTCATCCAGAGAGAGACCTGTCCGTGAGCCTGCTGCCCGAACCTAATTGAAGCCCAATACGATTTAGGGTTTAGAGTTTGGAAGGGTTGTAGCATTGAGCTCCCTTCGGGCTTTGACTCTGCCCCGAACTTCTTCGTGCTGTGTGTGATTTTGGTGTCGGAGAGGGAGGCGATGGAGAGGGGCGATGGCGAGAGTGGGGAGGAAATGCAGGAGAGGCTGAGTACCATCGCGGAGCTTAAGCTGGCCGCTGAAGGAGGCCAGGCGGCGCACCCGGGGGGCACGAAGGGGCCTCACGATGACGACGAGGAGGAAGACGTGGGGTTTGAGGAGATGGGACTCGACGCTCGGCTGCTGCGAGCGCTCTCGAAAAAGGGATTATCATATCCTACTCCTGTGCAGGCCAAAGCCATGCCTCTCATCCTTGAAGGTAAGGATGTAGTTGCTCGGGCCAAGACTGGCTCCGGGAAGACGTTGTCGTATTTGTTGCCGTTGGTGCACAAGCTGCTTGCGGAAGGCGGTTCGAAGAAAGGGCCTCGTGCAATGGTGCTCGTGCCTACACGGGAGCTTTGCCAGCAGGTGTACGACGAGGCGACTTCGTTGGCGGAATATTGCGGTGCCACGCTTAGGGTGGTGCAATTGGCGACCACTATGTCGACCGCGACTATGAAAATGTCGTTGGCCAGGGTGCCTGACATTTTGGTTGCGACGCCAGCCCGAATCGCTGCTTGCATCAGCCAAAACGTGATACAACCCGCTGTGCTTGAGGAGTCCTTGGCGATGCTCGTGTTGGATGAGGCGGACTTGTTGTTTTCGTATGGCTATGAAGAGGATTTGCGGAGCCTTGCTGTATATGTTCCTCGGAAGTGCCAGTGTTTGCTTATGTCTGCCACCGCCTCTCCGGATGTGGATAAGTTGAAGAAGTTGGTTCTTCATAATCCTGTTACTCTCACACTCACCGAGGAGGTGGATGGCTCTGGTGATACCAGCGTTGTCCCTAAGTCGGTTCAACAATTTTCAGTTCATTGCAAGAGTAAGGACAAGCTGCTGTATATGTTATCAATTCTGAAGTACGACCTCATTCAAAAGAAGGCTATCATATTTGTGAACACGATTGATACGGGATTTAGGCTGAAACTTTTTTTGGAGCAGTTTGGAATAAAGTCTGCTGTCTTGAACGGAGAGCTACCACAGAACTCCCGTCTGCACATACTTCAGCAGTTCAATGTTGGTTTATTTGAGCACTTGATAGCTACTGATGATGGGAAGTCCCTTCAACCCGTTAGCTCTACAAGCAAGGAAAGTAGCAGTACTAAGGATTCTGAGGCAGAGCCAGTGGAGTCGAAGTCGTCCAAGAAAGCTGTTCGCGACACTGAATTTGGAGTAGTTAGAGGTATCGACTTTAAAAACGTGCGCACAGTAGTAAATTATGATATGCCTGAAACTGTAGCTGGATACATCCATCGTATTGGGCGAACTGGGCGCGCAGGAAATGCCGGTATATCCCTTTCCCTTGTTCCTCCTGAAGATGAGGAAATTCTGAAGCAAATCAAGGTTGAGTTAAGTGGGGTTGATGAAGGCCAACAAAATAACAAAGCGCTCATTTCTCCTTTTCCTTTATTGTCAAAAACTGCTGTAGAGTCCCTGCGTTACAGAGCAGAGGATGTTATGAGGAGTGTCACGAAAATTGCTGTTAGGGAAGCTCGTGCCAAGGAGTTGCGAATAGAGATATTAAATTCTGAGCGCTTGAAAGCTCATTTTGAGGACAACCCAACCGATTTGGAGTTATTGAAACATGACAAGGTTTTGAGTAAGGTAGCGCCTGCAGCACATTTGAAAACCGTACCAGAATATTTGCGAGATCCAACAACCGAAGCAGCCAGCCGGGCTGTCAATTTAGCAAGAGCAGCAATGAATCTTGCCCAATCAAGCTTCGTCAAGAGGAAGAACAAAAGAGTGCGCGTTCAAGATGCTCCTACCGCCTTCACGAAGAGTGCAAAGAGGCTGAAGAGGGATGGCAGGAAAGGAGGCAAAAGTGAAGATGGGAAGAGTAGATCTCGGAATGCTAGCAAGCACAAAAGACGAAAGAGGTAGACTGTCGTGTCTTATCTCTGCATATGTTGTACTTCTTTTAGGATAGTGGTTCCTGGCTACTCAAGATCCTCAGATTTTGTTTGATTTTTGATAATTTAGGACCGATCGTGATTACTGTGTGCCACTTAGAAGAGACTGCAGAAGCTCTATCCTGTCCTTTTCAATAGAGGAGGTGCGTCTGTCTTTGAGAAAACTTGCCAAGTTTGCTCTCTCGGCTTGTGCCATTTGTATTGGCAAAATTTAACTGCAGTTGAGTCGTGTATATACAAGTCTCCTCTTGCAGCTATGGCATACCAGTTAACTTCTTTTTATGCGTCTGGGTATGAATCTTTACCTCATTGTTGTGGTTTTGTCAACACTCTCCCAGTTTTTCGATGCAAAGGCATTCAGGGGATAGTAAGAAATTTCCCTCTGATGTTTGCATTCTATTGGAGTTCTTTATCTAATTGTATTATAATCATAATGTTATGGATTATATTGAAGGCTCCAGTTCTCACAACTTGATGATTGTTAACACAATCGGATTGATTAGATGGTCTCAGCAGTAAGAATTATTTCTGTTATCAACAACTGAATCCTCTCAGATAAATGACTGGTGGCAACTTGATGTCGAACCCCCAAATTTTGGTTTTCTGTTTTTGATGCATGTCGTTCTTGTTTTGAACTGAATTTATGTGCCGACGGTAAACAGAAGTTGTGCGAAGATACTTTCATAATCCTAAAGAAATAAAAGAGAAATATCATCCTCCGTCAACACTGATTATAAAAATGAACGTGTACGTGAATTCAATATTTGAATAGCTTGTCTGCAGTTACGTGCTACCATTTGTCTACACACTGTAATCAACACAAGACAGATTGCAACATCGACAGCGATAGATTGTTTACAATATTTCTAGTCTACTGTACTACTGAACCATATTTTTGAAAATTGCATTAGGTCAGTTATTCACATTTAGAGATTGGCACAAGTGTTGGGAAATGTATTACAATATTCACACACTTATTTGAGGCCTGGTGACAAATCAATGGTTATTGAGCATGCAAACAAACGGACATGTTCGACATAATGGCAACCTGCAATACTAAAATTATGCAACTATAGTTTTCTTCCAACTAGTATACAGATGTAGTGGATTGAGTAAATCAGCATGCAGTCAACCTGAATGGAAATGGAAAATGCTACAGAATTGTTTGAAATTGGGAATTGTTCTATTAGTGAGTGATGTAGCATGCTGCTTCATAAAACTTAAGCATTTCTTTCAATGTGAACAAAATTTGACATGAGAAGTTGGCGTAGGTGTCACTTCTACGGTTTATACTTGCGTAACAGTTTGGACTACACATGGCGTTGCTCATAATGTTGTTTAAACTCAACTGCGTCCCAGAAAAGAACTGTGGGACTTCCACCGCCGTATACCATGACAAACTAATCCTAATACCTTAACTAGATTGACGTATACGCCAGAATGGCAAATAATGGGTATAATCTTTGGTATGAATTCTGTAGTGTGGGGCCTCATCCTCGTTAACCAATAAATCAATAACACCTAGATTCACAAGATATGAATATATATCAATCTCAGTAGGCATCATTTTGTGGCAAAGCTTACGCATTAAGCCAAAGTAGTTTCACTTGAATTCTAGATTACTGGCCTTTGCAATCAGCTGCTCTGTGTCCAGGTTGATTACAAATGAAGCAGACTCCCGCAAAGCTCGATCGTCTGCAATGGGAAATAGCCATTAGTGAAGAAAGAAATAATAAAAAGTCCACATAATGTCTTATCGGCCGATGAAAATGAAATGCTCGAAATCACCGTCATTCCCTCCACATTACTAAAATGTGGCCATTTGAGAATGGAAAAATTGAACCTCTAAACCCAATCCAGAAAATTCCCCTATGACTTAGAAAGGTCAGGTGGAAGAGAAAGTAGCTGATACCTTTCAGATGATCGTCTGCCGGATCTGTCACCGTCGTTGCTCCATCCAGAATCCCGACCTCGACTTGGGCCTCCCCTACCACCCCTTGGTGATGACGAGCGCATCCCGCTTCCACCTCTGGATCCGAAACGACCATACCTGTCACTACCCCTACCTCTATCGCCGTCCAAGTCTACTAACTTCGGCAACTGCTCAGAAAAATACATCAATTTTTGATTTAGACTGACTGGATATCTGAAATGTATCAATTAGATATAGCTCATTGGCAAAGGTCAAATTGAGTTGATTAGATGGAGTACCAACTGTTGCAGAGAAATTATCAGTCGGCAGCACTGGACGTTCAACTCAACCACCATGTAAATTAACAACTAATAAACACCAGCTAATGTTTCTTCATCTGGTCTTCCAGTAAAATACCTTCTTAATGCTCTCAATGACATCTTCTTCTCTTCTTGGTTTAGTGAGAAGCTCCTTCGCAATTTCTTGCGGCAAATCGAAGACTGCACCTTGAATCTGTCCGTAGATCATACTTTTTTAGCGTCCCGAGTTGAAGCCAAGAAAAGAGATAAAAACAAAGATCAATCTGGCAAGCGAATTGACCTATTGAACGAAAAGAAATATCTAGAAGAATGTTCATCTCCCTATGTTCAAGTGGGACCAGCCCCCTAATTGCAGCACAAAGTTCAAATATCGCAGCTCATTTCTCACACAACAATCAGTTCCCACCTTTGGATCGTCTATGATACGAATCTTCCCTACGTTATCAGCAGCCGCGTCCCAAATATCCGCCAACACCCCCATGACCATTCGAGCTGACATAGCTCTTGGTAATTCTTCGGTCCTTACCATCCTCAGTGTAATCAAACCCTGCGTCGTGAAACAGAACCCAGCAGATAAGACGACGTAAAACCAACAAGCATCTCTAGTAGAGTACTGATCTGTCAAAGCCCAACCACCTTTCTCCAAATATGTTGATAAAATCACCCATCCCACGAGGAATTGATGGCATAAGCATTACCTCTTCATGAGTAATGAGAGAACGCGGTGCAGGAAGCTGACTGAAACCACTAAGATGAGCAAGAGCAGCGGCAAAAGCGCCAGGACCCTCCTTTTCAAGAAGCTTTTCAGCGGTTGACAGGAAAACATTTGCTACGTCAGGATTAACCCTCTGAATAACAGCCTTAGCTGCTTTACTACTGGCTTGGAGCACTTCCTCCATTTGTGGTGGTGACATAAGAGTAAATTTGCAACCAACATCCATTTCGATATTTCTCATTGTCCGCTTCTGATTTTCGGAAAACATCAAAATTGCCGTTCCGTCCTTCCCTGCACGACCAGTTCGGCCAGAGCGATGTACAAATGTCTCGGGATCATTAGGAATCTCGTAATGAACAACCTGCAAAAATAGTAGCGAATTAGAAGACAGAATGGTGCAGCTTTGTCTTTCTGTTACAGGTAACCAAACACTTAATTTTCATGGAAAGCTGTCATTAAATACCCAGAACAAGGGGCACTGTCCAGAGAATAGCTTACCAGATCTACATTCGGAATATCCAATCCTCGGGCAGCGACATCAGTGGCAACAAGCACAGAGAAGCGGCCCTCTCTGAAAGAAGCAAGTGTCCTCTCACGTTGACTCTGCGTAATATCACCGTGAAGGGCTTCACAACCCAGAGTACGTCCAAGGACTGAGGCCACATCATCCGCATCTCGTTTCGTTTGAGTAAAAACAATTGTTTTCCCAACACTACCATGTACCTGTTGACCAGGGCACGCTATTAATACGAATAATAACCACTAGCTGCATTTCACATCTGATTAAAATTGATGACAACAGGAGGCACCACCAAATACCAATAAGAGCATATTCTAAAAACCTGATCATCAAAGAACCAACGAACGAGAACTAAGCCGTCAACTCAGCTGATTTCAACTTTGCAAGCCACAAACATTTCACAGTAGAGCAAAAACTTACGGAGATAAGGTCATTGAGGACCGTCCTCTTAGCCGCCGGAGGAATACATACTGCGAGCATTTTGATACCCTCGGCAAGTTTCTCGTTCGAGTCTCCAACCTAAAATACAGGTAGGGAAACTGTTGAGCGCTAAAAAAGTAAAATAAAAACAAGTACCAAACAAACATAAACCAGGTTCTCGAACAAAAGTCTTGCAATCAAGTCATATACTGGTGAGAATGGCAGGAGCTTGGGACTTCCAAGCTAATTTAATCACGTACGAGGTCAATTGTCAAAGGGCTTTTTAGGTACTTCTTCGATAACTTCTTCACCCAGTTGGGCATTGTAGCTGAAAAGAGCATACTCTGCCTCTCCTCGGGCATCTGCTCCAGAATACGCTCCACGTCCTCTTCAAACCCAACCGCCAACATTTGATCTGCTTCGTCAAGAACCAAGTATGAGACGTCCCTTAAGGATAGCGATCGTCGCTCTATCAAGTCAATAATACGGCCAGGAGTGCCAACAGCGACGTCCACGCCCCTCTGCAATTGTCGCTGCTGAGTGGTAATAGACACGCCTCCGTATACACAGACAGTGGAAAGCATAGGGGCTGACTCCATAAATTCACGTTCAACTTGTTTAGCAAGCTCTCGAGTTGGTGCCAGCACGAGCGCCCGCGGAGCTCTCCCAGACCGCCTGTACTTAAGAACAACGTCAGTGAATTACACTAGTTCGCAAAACATAAACACGTACACAACCACAAATTGCATTCTCATACGCGAAATGAAAGTTTATTAAAAGGGTTGGTCCAGAACACTATACTTGAGAGATCAGATGCATCAGCGTGTATTATACCTGGATGTGCGGTCAGCTTCATGTGCCTTCAATATGTTGTGGATAATCGGAATTCCAAATGCAAGCGTCTTTCCAGTACCCGTCTTTGCTCTTCCAATCAAGTCACGGCCTTGCATTGCAGGATCCAGAACAGCTCTCTGTTTCAAACACAAGGTCCGAATCTGTTATTATCGGTCTTTTAATCACTAAGACATCGCTACTGAACACATTAATTTTAACTTAGGTTTATAACTTAAACTATTCAAAGAGAATTGAACTATATGAAATATCCTGATAGATGAGGCAGCTCTATATTCTGAACTAAACAATGCTGGACTGCGTTGCTCGTACGTGGAGCACGCACCAGAACTATCAACTTGGTAGTCATTAAAGCACTGAAGATTTCGAATTTAGAGTCAAGAGCGAGGCAGGAAAGTTGTCGCATGCATTTCAAACCAACACTCATGTAGTGCAAGATACATGAGGTAGTCATAACACCAGCTCAATTTCCTTCCAATAGGATAAGAAACTCGAGACAAACATAGTAGACGGGTAATCTAACCTGGATAGGAAAGAGCTTCTCGATACCACGCTTGGCCAGGGCATCCACGACCGCCTGCGGGATACCGAGGTTAGCCACGGCGAGCTCATCCTCGTCATCAACGGACTCGTTATCCACACGGATAATCTCCTCTTCGTCGTCAAACTCATCAGTGTCGAGCCCATCAGTCAAACCAAAAATTGAAGTGGACGCGTAATCAGTAGCAATAGCTGAGCGCTCCATGGACGTAGAGGACAGTGAGCTCTCCGTCGACGCCAAAGACGCCCTCTGGGCATCCCAGGGCGAGGAACCACTGACACCATCCCTCAACGCCTCCGCAACTATCTGCACACTCTGGGTAGGAAATGCAGACACGAAGCCGGCACTCACGTGCACTTTCTCCCCAGTGAAGGACGTCGCCAACAGCGCCCCTGCACCCCCAGTCCTGCACAGCGACGAGGCAGAAGACACAGCTGCTGACATGGCAGCCATCGCTGCCAAGTCTCACAAACTACCCAACTCTCTCTCTCACCTCTCGCCTCACTCAAGCTCCAATCCCTCAACTCACAATTCGACGAAACTCCCACAAATTATCTCGAGAATCTTCGAATTCTCTTAAACCCTTCAACCTCTTGCTGCTCAGCAACCAGATAAGAGACAAAAGCCCTACAAAAGCCTCTTCCCCTCACAGAAAACTCCCAACTCTGGAGCTCTACAACCCCCACACTCCTCACACAGAAAGCTGTAGAGCCTCACTGTGAACCCAGCACCGAACTGTTGAGGCTGTTGAACCTAAGAATGACCGACACAGGTTCCGAAACTTGTAAGAGAGCGAGAGACAAGCAGAGGATTGACCGAGGACCCAATGGCGACGACACAAGCGAGGAGGCTACGAGAGCCACAGAAAGCCGAGATGGGTCTTGTGGATTGGGCTCCACTGTGACCAAATTAGGGCTACGGCTTGCGATTTCACAAACCGTGGAAACTTAGGGTGCACAGGATTCTCTTAGAAACTGAAAAAGTTCTATCCACTCGTAAAAAAGGTTCCCCTCCGTCGAACTCGCCGCTACTTTTCGGGGATGCGCCCCCGACGAACGCTTTTTCGTCCACCTCCCGTCGCCGACATCCTTTTCTTTTTCGTCCATCCTGTCAGTTCTCCGTCAACAAGGATATTTTTTCAAATGTTAGTTTCGACGGATGACGTTGTGCGTTTTGTACATTCGTTCATTTTTCATCCATGTGTATATTTGTCTGTGAATTCTTTTGGAATGTATGGATGTGTTTATGTACAAATATATGTTGAATTTGGTTTGTGGGTGGCACTTGACTTGTGACTATTAATTTCCATGTTTATTGGTATGATACCAAAGAACACAACTACAACATTTTTTTGGTTTGTGAACTTATTAAAAGAAAATTTATACTTGTGTGTTACTTTCAAGGCTCTTTATATATAATAATGTTGTGTAAGTAACTTGTAAGCTAAAATACTTAGAATTTATCATAATGTTCACATAAGTTTCCTAGACATTTTTTTTCTCTATTTATTTATTGTATTTTTTCAAACCTTACTCAGTCTTATTTTTTTACATCCAATATTACATCCAGTATTTAGCATTGGGTTTTACAATAAAGTAGATGTAGGATTGAAATTTAAAATTTAATTTTGAAATGCACAAATATTATATCTCAACGGTTATATTCTTAGAAATGTTCTATTTTATATTAAAATTCAATATTATACATGTTTTTATTGTATAACTTATATTTTACGACCACTTACATGTAAAAGCTTTTATGTACATATGTGTACATGTATATATATATAGATATATACACACTGTTTACTTCATCTTAATGACTCTTTGTTATACCTAAGAAACTAATAAGAAAAAGAACGAAATAAAAATTTATAAAAACTTATGTACACAGCCTTTTGCAATAACAATTTAATATATCAAATAAAAAAAATAATGATACTAATTGTTAGAAGTGCTCATCAGATTTTTAAAATCATTAAAGGAAATCTCGATGTTTATTAAACAACAAAGTAATAATTTTTTGAACATATAATATTTTTGGATAAGAAGAATTAATTCCTAATGTAATAGAACCCAGTGGATAAACTAGTTTTATTTTTGTAGGATACAAATATGAATTTACGTAAACTTTGGTACAAAATGTTCTTTTTTGTGTAACAACAGGATCAAAAAATTCCACTTGTACTACCAAATCATTGTCATCTTTTGAATAATCACATACAAATTTGTCAACACTATATCATTTTGTAGTTTGATGATTAGCGTATTTTTCATTCATTTATACACCATATGAGTATTATTTCTTTATTTTGATGTACTTGTGTACACCCATCTCATTTATTGTAGATTTCAAATTATGTTTTTTGTCCTACACCTATTTCACTTTTCATAAAAACAATTACAGTGAATAAAACAAGCAAATGAAGTAGTTTACAGCTCCAACTGGATGTCTGATTTGTTCTTTAATGGAATCTTGTTAAAATGTGCATCATTTTATATCATTTTAGCTCCAATTATAACAGTATCATCATAAGTTCATTGGTTCAATTAACTTCTTCTTTAAATATTTAGTACAATTCTGTCTATTATGCCATTAAGTTGGATTAAAAAATCTCAAGACTATATGTTCCTTGTATGTTTGTATCTTAACATCTCTTGAATCACATTTAGCTTCTACACCTACAAATCTACTTTTGGTTGCATTTTTGTGAGACCTTGATAATGTGCAAAAGATCACTAAATGTACATGTGAAAGACTGCAAGATTTTCACTTTTCTGAACTCTCATAACATTTCATTCGTTTGACAACTGTTGGGTTTATTTTATTTTATTTTTTGCATAGTAGTTTTTGTAGTTGTCAAAATTTCTTGTACAGAAATATTCACATTTTCTTAGTTTCTTTTTTTCTTATTAAACCAAAAAGTGATAGTTAGCTAATCGAAATTCACAATAACTGTCACTGAACACTTGGATATAATGCTCTTTGATTCCACGTCTTCAATCAAATTCATCTTTATTGCTACACATCCTTAGTGGTCACATGCATTTAAATTTTTCCTGTTTATGATTGATGAATTGTCCAATTTGGTGCAGTTTTCTGTACCATTCCACTATAGTTTAACTGTAATTCAAAAAATAAAATAAAGACAATGCATTTATAAATCTCATGGTTCATGGGATTGTTTGAATCAAATTTTGATATCTTCATGAAACTTCATTCCTTAAGTGAAATTCCTCATTCAACCACTCTGCTAATTTGCTTAACTCTTCAGAATGACGCATGCGAAACACAAACCCTTCCAGGTAAGCCAAATCCTAATCCTCGATGCAGTCTGAAAGTCTCGCCCACCATCTTCGCACTCATACTCTTTTTTTCAACAAGCCCAACCAGTGATTTTCTAACCATTCCAAATGGATGGCCAAATACATGGAATATTGCCTTAACAGTGATCCCAATTCACAACACCTCCGCCATGGAAGTGGGTTCAGACAAAGACGAGTTTAAGACAATCACTGGAACTAGGAAATTAGTTTTGAAATGGATGAAAAGTCGTTAGAAAAACCTTCCGCACCATAATTACTGCTGGCGATCAGAAAAGCTTCAGTCGAAATCAATATCGTACCAGACTGCTTCAGAAAATATTATCAAAATAAAATCAAGGAGCTACAAAGCTAGTTTACAGAGCATATAACTACAATCAGGAACTGAAAAGAGAATGATAGGACTGGTCAAACAAATTTCACTGGTGGAGCAAAATAATGTCTGGATTGGATCACAGAAAACAAACTAACTTCCTCAAAGGATTGCTTCACCAGAGGCCCATTGCTCCAGCCAAAAACCCGAAATACAATTTTTCCACTAGATTAGATGCACAATCCATGATATATTGCAGAGGCAAGACTACTCTACTACAAAATTTTGGAAACTGCCTATCAGTATGTGAACGAGGGGTCATACTTTCGTATGCCTTCTCGACTGTAATAGGGCGTGTTCTCTAAGGTTCTGCTCACATACTCCGTGTAAGGTTGTTGAGGACTTCTGTATCCCAATCCCCCGGATGGAGGAGTCTGTGGAGTTCGAGGAGAGCCGACTATCCGTTGACGGAGAGGAGTGGTCTCGTACTGACCACCATTAGCAGCAGGTTCTGATGGGAGAGTGTCTACATTCCTGGAGGCTAATGACGATCGCTGTACATCGAGCAAGCGGGCACAGAAGACTAGAGGAAGAATCATCAGCAGTACGATGATGACCACAGTTGTCGCGATCTGTGCTGTCAAACCAGCTATAGTCGATTTTCCAGGCTTGAAGCATACTGGCAGTTCTAGCTCTTGACCTGTACGAGATGAAGTTTCGATAAGATTGATATATGAAAGATATTAAAAATGAACAAAGAGCTGCATAACATGAGCAGAACCCTCAGGATACAAATATACCTGTCAGAGACGATCTGATGACCAAAGAGTCACTTATAGGCTTACTCTCGTCCACAACTTTCAACTGCAGAAAAAATGATTTATTAGAAACAATGCCTCAACGAGACGAGTGTTCGCTGAAGTGCCTAAGAAGAAAGCAAACGAATACTAGATTCAACAAGCGTCAAGTTTCAAATGACTACCTTGTATAATGCACGCCCGCCGGCTCCATCAGTTTCAACTTTAGGGTTCTGAAGCTTAATACTGAAGGCTTCAGGTTGTCCGGGTATTGTAGGTCGAACAATATCTGCATAATTATTGATTTTGATCAGAGCAAGTCTCAAATTCAACTTGTTTAATTAATACCTCATTGTGGATTGCCCAAAAGTCAAGAATTCAAACGATAAGCCTCCAAAACTCGTGCATACAGGAACATTTACCTGGATGTACACAACCAACTACTACAAATTCCCATTCTTTTGATTTTGATGTAAGCGTGAGCTGCAATAACGATAGATTAAAGTTAAAGACGCATCCGAAAGGAAAACGAACTGATCATGAAATAATTTGGGGCAAAAAACTTTAAACATGAAAGAAGTCAGCGGAAGTACTGATAAAAGGGATTTTGCACAAATAAAACCCAATGTAGGATCAAACCTGAGAAGGCATGCTCTGAACAATCTCAAAGCCTCCAGCGAACCAGGCCTTTACGGACCCTTCGATACCTGATGTTCCCTCAACCTGAACTATCATAGAAAACTCTAATTTTCCATTGAGATACTTGGGAGCTATATGCTTCTGGGCAACCGACTTCTGATACGCTTCCTTCAATTTGGCCGGCTGATTTGGTAGGAAAACACAGTGGAAAGCACCACTACCAGGCTCTCGCCACGCCTTGGCTTCCCTGAAATTTTGAGCCATACCACTGCTAATTAATCGAAAATACAAAAAAATCACAATTTAACGGACAAATTTGAAAGTTAACAACACAAGTCACTGACATAGTTGAATCCACATGTCAAATGCGGATAAGTTGAAAGAATCTGCAACATCAAGAGATAGACGAGACACACCCGATGAAACTCGGCTGAACTTGGCAGCTGTATGACACCTCCCGATTCTCACCCACTATTCCAATATCACGACCATACGCATCACTGATTCATGCCCGACATAGCAACAATGTCAGTAAATCACCCGAAGCCAACGCACTGGCGGCAATATATGAAAGCCAGCAAAGAGGATCGATTAGCATGTAGGCTCAACATCATTCAGATATTAAGGAAGGTGTGGAGTTTGCATGAGGCACCTGAACTTGACAGGAAAATAGTAGCCCTCTCGTGCAGTAGGCACATTGGAAATGATGCCAGTGGGCACCTCGATGTGTACAGAAGCAACTCTGACAACATTGACCGTTGTGTATGTTGTCAACCGCGTTCCGTTAAAGCTAACTGTTTGATCAAGAAAAACCCAGTAAAATCCTCTGCTGATGAAGTATCACAGAGCAGAAAGAAACAAACAAATTCAACTTCAACTAATGAATTATTAAATATTACCAAACCAAGTTAGTACCACAAAAACCACTTCTGGTATGCTTACAGCAGATCAGCGCCAAGATACATACCAGTTGCTACGCCCTCTGCAATAGCTTGAGCTTCTCCACTATGGCTATCAACTCGTACAACACTTGCATTGGAACTGTACCAGCTTCCACGTTCACCTGTAAGCAGTCCATGTAGCCCTTATCCATATAACATAGTTGGTTAGAAGCAAAGTTGTATGGGCTAGCCCCAGGGATATACAAGTGCAGATATAAGCTTGAATGTCGTTTGCGAGGAATGTATTTAAGGAAATAAAAGGACAAAATAGCTGATGAGTCAAAGAAACTAGATGGATCAGTACCAACAAGAACTCACCTTTACCGAGGATAGAGAAGCTTAGACGATTTCCAATGTGTAGGACTGGGCTACGCGGATATACATACGCCCCTACGTTGATCTATAAAACGATGATAAAAAAGGGCATTGTAATCAGGAATAAATTAGGTAGACAAAGAAACCATTAACTATTGTTTGAGTTTAACGAATCTGTCAAAGACCTGACGAAATTCATCCTTGACCTGTTTTTACCATCTCGAATAAAACTAAGCAAAGGTTGATGAAGATATCTGATGGTGACCAAGTGCAAACAGTATTTGCAACTTACCATTATCCAATCCACAATTTGCGGATTATTTTTATATGTTACACGCACCAAAGCTGAGCCTTGCCTTACAGCCTGGGTGCACATGCAACACTACCTTCAAAATTGTGTACGAGCATCAACCAAGAAAGATTCAAGAAAAGTAGGAGTTTAGCTAGAGTGCTCAGAAAAAAAGAAAACTAAGCAATAACTTTGTGAACTTGTCACAATTCATATTAAAACACGGAATGATAGACTAAGAACAAAATGAGAGAGAACCACCTTTACAAGAATGGTGGCCTTGCTTGATCGACCAACAATCTCAACGTCGACCACTTTGACAGTTATCAGGTCGGCACGATTGGTATCAAGAGTTATTGGTATTGTTGTTCCAGCTTCCAAAAACGGAACTCCTGACGACCAAAATCATGTAAGTGATAGTTACCAAATTGAAACGTAGAAATCATAACAAACTTTCGTTGCACTGGGCCAATTGCAGCTTCGTACTAAAGAGGCGAACTGCCACGATAACCGAACAGCAGAATAGGTGACCAGAGAAACTCACCAAGATCATCGCGTAGGGTCACTGCCAATTTTTGATCTGTACCTACAGATAGTTCTGCCAGAGGAACTGCAAGTATATCATCTCCTACCGTGAGGGAGAAAACCTGCTCCAAGTCCATCACACAAATTTTATAGTGAGAAAAATATGAGCACAACATTAAGAGCAAATTGCGAAAAACAAAACAAAAAGAAAAACAAAAGAAGAAAAAAAAGAAAGAAAAAGCGCATTATTCTACATTTCGAATCAGAACTGGAGCATAATGACTCGTTTTAGAAACACAACGAGAAGTAACTTCAACAAAACTTACTGCTCTAGTACAACCTTTAAGAAGCTCCCTCCACTAATATGTGATTTTATTCAGTATTTAGACCGGTGATCTCAAGTACAATGTTTCAGAAATGCATAAACAGTTCAAAGATTTAACTCGAGAAAGAGTTAACTACCAGGTTACTACAAGATCAGATTGATGTAAAGAAAATATTCCTGCCATCCAACCAGGCAGACATCTAAATACACTAGAAGCCACTAGAGGGCAAGCGACTTCAAGGAGGTAGAGAGCATGCACCTCAGCCACACGCACGCATGCAGCAACTTCAGACCGCCCGGTGCTACGATCTCTGGCATGAATACATGCCACTTCTGTCTTCTCTGAAGTTTGTATTGTTCCACTTTCCATGAGGGTTATTACATTGGCATCGTTGATACTTTGCTGTAATACACATGTACATTTGAATGAATCAGGGAAAATTCACAAGCTCCTCTATGCAAAGAAATATAAAAGAAAAATAATTAGAACTACCACAATTACAACCGTGACAACACCACCATGGTCATTTGATCCTGCGGTCAACAGCCAGAGTATGCAGTTAGATGAAATACTTAAAATAAAGTTTGACTTCTTACATGCATGACTGAGTAAGTGACACTGCCTCCACCTCGTCCTGGATCCGAAAATTCGGGGACTGGCCTTTCCCTTTGGAGTAACAGAGGAGAGCTGCTGTAAGATGGAGGCAGCACCCATGTGGCTCCTATACCTAGAGATAAAGGCGGATCTGGTACTACCCACACTGTGCCAGACGGCTTGAACTCTTTCTCCACTTTCTGCCCGTTGTAGTGAAATTGGCAGTTGAAAGACAAAGTAACAGTCGTCCTTCCTGCAGATCTACAGTATTGCCATACAATAGTCAAAACCACTGGTGTGATAAAGAATCGAGTATTATATATAACAATGTAGATCTAGACATGCAAAGATATCTTCAAGTAACTGAGCATCTTAGATCTGTATTACACTAGTGACATGCAAAGATACCTTCAAGTACCTGGTCGAAGTACTAAGACACTTGCATGGAGCACACAACAAAATAAGTGGAGCAACGCAAGTATTGAGAGAGCAAGTTAGTTATCTGGCTCTTACTTGCCAATGGCTCTAGCAGTGAACCCATATGGAGTACCAGAAGACTCGTCCAGCTTCCCCCAGCCTTTTGTTCTAGAACTGGCGACCTCAGATAAAGCGGAATTCTTTTCCTCTCCAGAAAAATCATCTATGCCTGCCAGACCTAGAACCTGTAATTTGAAGCAGAAAGCGGGGGAACACAAACCCCATCACCACATTTAACAATCAATCGAGTTTGAACATGCAATAAGCTCTTCAGAAAACATGGATTCTAAATTTAGTGCATAATCATTGCAACCAGCACAAAAGCACAAAAGCACCAGAGGGGCTTGCATGCCCAATAAAATTAAGCCCCCACGCAGTTAGATATAATACTGTAGACAAAACTGCATGCACAGCGCAACCAAAACAATGATTGACATAAATCTTCTCACGAAAACCTGTAATGACATAGTATACTCATTTCTTTAATAAGATACAAGAATTGCTGCGACTACGCATAGTTGCTCACCTGATCATTTCCGACAGACCATTTGTAGTTACCGCATAAATCATAGAAGGCAAACAGGTTCTCCTGCAAATCAGAAAGGATGATCAGATCAGAAATGGATGAGAATAACGTTCATATGCTAAATCACATTTTTTCGTGTGGTGGTCAGAAAAAATATGTTTTGTGGATACCGAGGTGATGTCTGCTGACCAAGTCATCTCACAACTTGATGTTCAATCATATTTAAGAAATTCTCACATGAACAAGTCTTAACTTCCATTGTTGATATTTCGAGACAGTGCACTTCTGTAGGTGCACATTCTCCTACTAATAGCGTACTATTTTTACTATCCAGTTAAACATGATTCCAGTAAAGATGAATCTAAGCTCCGATTAGGAAAGGAGCTTCGTGATTGTCAAACACGTACCCCAAACCCATGAGGAAATATAGTAATTTCACGGCCAATAGCAAGCTGGCCTCCCCTCACATCAAGTATCATTGAAACTGGAACTTGCACCGTCACGTTCAACTGAGCTTCACTAAGGAGCTCCCCATTATGATTGCGTGCCTGAGCTTGTACGGTCTGTATGGACACAAAAATACCCAATATATAAATACTCTACTTAATATGACAATCAAGGGAAGGCATATCCTACCCAACTCGAGATCTACTAGATAGAGCTAGGAAATGGACAAAAAACCTACCCTTCAGTGATTTACAGATTGCGTGCCGTATGAAGAGACACTCAGAAATTGGCGCACCAATTTTTTGTTGTTTTATTTATAATCTCTATTTATTCCTAAAATTTCCAACTACAAAAAAGAAAGTATTCGTGGCTATTAATTCTAGGATGCAGATGCTTACCGCTCTTCCTGGAGCTTTGGCCTCAAGAAGCCCAGAAGCAGGATCAATTTTCACTACCTCGGGATGAGTAGCATCGAAATTAAATACGACACCTGTCTGAGGACCTCCATCCACCACCAACTGTTCACAGAAGTAAAAAGCAGTCAGCAGTCTTCATGGTATGCACATTTAATACAAAATCCATCATGATGTGTGATAGTCAATTACGCCACATTTTCTACTTCTGTGAAGCTGCAACCAATTAAAGATAACCCAGTTGCGGCCAAATCCATTATCAATTTTGGAAGCGCAGGTACTCACTAAATACTTTGCTCCGGGTGCAAGCACCAGAGCAGATGGACGGATAGAAAGAGGAGCGTAAACCAAAATCCGCGCAACATCAGAAAAGACCTCTTTGTCGGATCTTTGTCGAATGCTAACCTGGAAATATGCGACTTAAAATAAGATATCAACAACTAGGAGTAAATGAGTTAAGTATCAAAGCAAGGCACGTGAATCATAACGAAGACGCATCAATAACTGCACTCAAAGATCTTACATGAAGTGTTGTAGTAAGGCCCACATTGGCCCCACAAACGACGAACTCATTCGCTGCAAGATGAGCACTCGTATGAGGCTTGGTAATCAGAACTCCATCTTGAAGATGAACTCTCAGGTTCATAAATATAAACTGGACGGACATAAAATAAATGTAAGCGGTCACAACAGCGGATGAATATACGTGCAAGGACTACATGTCTATAGATGAACCCCATTTCAGAAGCCAATTAATGCAGAAACGTACCTGAGAAGAGTCAAAAACACGCCCAGAACTATCTGCTGCTTCCACCTTCACCACAAGGCATGAACCCACCTATCCCAAAAAAACATCCTAAATTTCACTAAATCGAAGTCTTATTTGCTGGCTGCATCAAAAGATCATTTCAAAGCTGAACTTGAAGAGAAATTTCTTTCGGATGTGAAACACAAGAAACTGTCACTCTTTAGCACTCCAAAGCATTTGTGGAACTTTGCTGCTTAGAGGAAACCTGAAAACAACCCGCTATTGTGTGGAAGTCTCCAAGGTTGGAGGTCCTGACCTTTTTCAGTAAAAATATGAACCACAGAAAACTGTGCTCTACCAACCAATCATGCAATAAAGAAATTATAGTTCAAAGAATATTATTACAAACCTGCAGACTCGTATCCTCAGGAAGTAACATTCTAACTGCTGCCGCATCTGACACGGTCACCTGCACGACGAAACCACATGGTTAGCTCACATCATTCACTAGCTCCTAAATACATGAATCAGCGCACAATGTCTACATAAGAGTCATTAATCCCTTACAAGGATGTCTACAGACAACCTGCAGTCTGGTTCCCACAACAATAAGTTTTTTTGTTCAATTAAGTCCGAAAAGATAGCGCAGCTATTTGATGTTGAAATAGCAGCCACAAAACACGCTGAATTGCCTCAACTTCCATCACATGATGGATGTGGTCCTAACAATATGTATTCTTTGTAACTTGGAAGGGGAGAAGCTTATGATCTTACCAGAGCGCTCGCAGATGCTGGAGTTGCTAAACCTACATCCCGTATGGTGATAAGAGCACTCCCTAATCCTCGGGCAGCCACAATCAGGCCTCGAGTATCAAGAAGAACCACATCCACAACTCGAGAGTCATTAGCACGGGCCTCAACTTCATTTGTTCCGCCCAATATTGACAAGCTTGCCTGTCACAGCATAGTTCAATCATACTCATTAATGATTCAACTGGGGGCTATTCCAACACACAATGGTATCGGAACTACCGAGGCTACAAAAATCTATGTTTGAGACAGTTAGAGATTGTAAACAATTAAATGTAATATCAAGAATCAAACCTTGGAATCTGGATGGTGGAAAAGAAGAAAATTACTAGGCTCAATCCGTAAAGCTGCCACAAGCTGTACAAACAACACAGAATGAATCAAGGTAACAATTTCTGGCAAAGAGGAAAATCCTCCTTCAATAGGAAACGTTGCAAAAAAACAGGAGTAAACCATAATGCAATACTTTACTGATACCCTACTTTGAGGACGCTGGGTAAGAACAGCTCCTTCACCAAAATTGCAGCGTAATCAAAACCCAGCTTTCGGAACTGCAGTAGCATTGTCAAGATACGGAAAAGATATATGTGGGTTGCACTTCCATTTCTAAAGTCTAATTATGCATCGAGTAAAAGTGAAAAGTTTATACGCAGAAACCTGTAGTTGAACTGCATCACTGAGGTGTCCAAATGATTTTGCAAAAGATTTCCATGCAGGAATCATAGCAAATGCACCCTCGTATTCACTAGCAAATCCGTGCAAATCTGCGCGTACAGTGCACTGAGGAAAAGCTTGAAATTAGGACAGACAAGACAGATGTTAATCAAGTAAACTCAAATTTCAGCGAGTACATACAAATAGAATTGAACACCCAATAGCAGCCAAACGCATGTGCAACAAAATACAAAGGAGAAAAATCGTAAACAGTGATATTTGCTCAATCAGGTTATGCCAGAGAGTCGAAACACAGAACTTAGTAAGCTGAAGAGCTATACCTCTCCTGCAGCATTTCCAAGTGCAAGCTTACGCTCCCAACCATTAGAAACCACGTTTGAGTTGGATTCCTCCACGACCCATTGGGCAAGATTTTTGCACCCCACAAGCTTCCACGATACACTCAAAGATGAAGCATTCGAAAATGGCCTTCTCGCGTCATCTAAAGCAACAACGGCAACCCTGATTGATCGATCATTGATCACCGTAACAGGTGCAATTTGGCAGTTTGTTTTATCCCGCTCAGCGTGTGCTGCCAACTTAATTGAGGTCATACTGTTCTCTGCACACAAAACGCAATCACACGACAACGTGAGAGGATTTAGGGTCTAGCAGTGGGAATACAATAGTACAATCACATCCACTTAACAAAGACCATCGAACATGAACACAGCCCAAAAACCTACATCGATCAAAAATTATTTAGTCTTATTATTTGAGAATTGCACCGACCCTTGTTAGATGTGAAGGACAAAGGGTGAATTAGCACTACTTGAGGGGAAGAATGGGATTGCAACGCACCTGGTTCATCAATGAGAAGGGTGATAGCTGATGGAACTGAGCATGTCACTGAAAGGGACACACTAACTACGCTTTTAGTTGGGTGGTCCTCGCCCACGAGATTTCCACGGTAAAAAAATATTGTCTGTGACGAGTAAACCAAAAATACTGAATTAGATATTCTAACATCAGTCACAGAATTATAAACAGAAAAATAGCATTATAACTAGAAAATTTGCAGAGTTGAAGACGCACAGAATTCCCCAAACTCTTGCATTCAATGTTGTAAACCCAATTTCCTCCATCCTGCACATGAGACACTCCAATGTTCTCTTTGCCCGCTGCGCCTTGTTCATTTATAACTTCATGGGTATCTACGAACTCAACTCCTTGGCGCCACCGTTCAGGGCCGCCACACAAGAACACTTTCATGCTGCTTCTTAGTACCAATAATAGCTCTTTTAGATGCCGGGATTCAGGTGAAGGCAGTGGAACAAGTCTGGTGCCCGCCAACTTATGTGAGTAGCCCCCGTGCCCATCCCCGCTCTTTGCCTGCTCCAAAGTGAGAGGAGCAAAGGCAGCAATAGGCCATGAGGCTTCCAGAAAAGGATGTTCAATCTCAGATGAGGTAAACCCTACTAGCAGTTCCCCAATATTCAGGGAAGCTCTTACTGTTGCTCTGCCAGTTCGGGTTGCGGAAATTAAGGCCCATGCACAGACGCGGGGGTGAATCAATTGAATCGCCTTTTCTTGCGCTGAGCTTAACATTTGGGCATCTTCACTCACCATGGAAAATTGTCCATCGCCACCAAATATGGCCCACTGAACAGCATTCTTCAAGACATCACAGCTAGCATATTCCATGCCTAAAAAGCAGAAATCATTAGTCCTCAATAATAGGCGCGATTTTTATGCAAACTAAGAGGATCAGTGTTAAAGTATGAAACTGCTAAGTAAATGTTGTATTCTGACATGCAGGTAGGTCAGCGACATCCCACTAATCTTGCTCACATAGTGGTTGAGCTTTAAATCTAACAAAACACCATCTCAAGCAAAGTTGAGAAAAGGCTGACTCACCAGAAGAATCCCGCAGACCAACAGCTACAGGAATATAGGATCCAACTTCTACCTCTACGGGTAAACCAGGTGCAATACCAATGGCAGTAGGGTATGATACTTCCACAATGATCTGCAAACATGTAGCATCATGTTAAAAAGAAATCGCTATCAAGTAGATTGATGACCCTGTTTCTATCTGCGAGCACTAGAACTCAGAAAAAACAGCATGTACACAATGTCTTCAGCGCCACAAATGAGGAGGTAGCAGCAAAACCAACGATAAATTACAGAGCACGGACAGATAGAAACCCAACAATGATAACCCACCTCGTCATCATTCAAAACATCGCCCAGGGCTGTAGCATGAATTACTGCTCTTCCTAAGCCTTTGGTCCGCACAACCCCATCAACATTTACTGTGGCCACGGCAGGATTTGAGGATGACCACTGATAATCCGTTGGCTTCGTCCCACAGCCTGCATAAAGTGAACAATAATGAAAATACCGAAAAGCTTCACCGCATCCACATGTATTAATCTAGGTTAAATGCTGGGTAATACTCATTTTCTTGTGTATTAACAACGCTAAGATAATAATTTAATGCGCCTTAAAACAAGCCTCGCAATGTAAAGTTTTGATCCATGTGCATGATTAATTGGATTATGGTTACAGTAAAAAAAACAACCTATTCAAATGAAGGATTTCCAAAATCTGCAACGTGCATAGGCTATGTAAATGCTGACAGCTACATGGATATTTATGGGAACGACCTGGATAGTATTCTATCTGAAGGTGACCATTTAAAGTTACCAGTAACATCATGTAACCAGTAATAATTGCATTCAATATTTGCAAGTTCCTAACATTTACAAAACAATTGACAAGACATATACCTCCTTCAGCAGATAGATGATGTAATTGCTCATAACCAGGTGCCCAGGGTAGACCCAAATATTCTCCAAAATGATTCCGTAATATTTTTACTTGTGCGCATACAGTTAATTCCTCTTCAGTAGTGAGAAGCTGCACAACCATGGGAATCTTTCTTCAGAAATTGTGTAAAAAGAAGAGGCACAAAGATAACGACTTATTCCAGCACATATAAACATCAAAGTCGCTGTTCCAATGCATACCTCTTTATTCCTTTCCAACCAGCTGCCACTTAAAGGGTCGTGGACCATGACACCATGGCCAAGACTTGCTACTAATCTGCCATTTCCTTCTGACAATGCTTCCAGAAGAGAGCAATTACGCCATCCTTGTTCAGCTACCACAGCTTCAGGAACCTTGGACATCCTCCAGAAAGGAGAAATAGCACGAGGCATAGTTAAGTCATTATCCTGTAAAAATCAACATCCACAATAGGATATATATTGATCAACGTCTTATTCAGAAAGATGAGAGAGACTAAATCATCCGCAGAATAGTTTCAATCTCGCTACTAAAAACAAATACACATAAATTACAACCCAACATTAATAAATAAAAAGGTATCAGGAACGACAATAACAGAAAATCGTTAAAGCTCTTGCGCAGATCTGCAGACCTAGCAGTGGCTTAAGAAACTATAAGCATCAAATAATTCTTAGACTCCGAGTTACAAGAATTCGAGACGCGAGCCTTGTTACGCTTATTCAGCAAAAAATGAACTTCCTACTTCCAAAGTACAAGCATTAGAGAAGCAACGCACTTTTGTCAATAAAAGAGGTTTCTTTCCGGATTCCTTCGAGAAAGCAAATGCCTGAACCACGTACTTGCGCCCTGCCACAACTTGCCAATTGCTATCAGACAGAACCACTGACTGCTTTACGTTGGACACTGCACCTGTCTCCTTCCCCAAAAGAGGAGATAGGGATAACACTAGGCTTATTGGACGGACAACGTGGATAGTTGATGTTTGTTGATGCCCTGATAACCTCAAGTCCTCCACCGTCACCACTGTGGACCCATATGTACGCGCTGTTATGAAACCTGATACAGTGTCAATATCTGCAACAGTAGAGTTGTCTAATGACCACCGATGATGTGGAGATGGCAATGAAATAACTGCAAAATCAAGACAACAGGCAGTCAAGAACCTTTCATAGACAATGTTTTCAACAAACTTTAATATAGAAATTACTTAATCATTTGGGTGCATGTTCGTGCAAACAGCATGGTCAAATGGATTGCAAAGAGCACATTTACTCTAGTCGACCATTAGCGGGAATAGCAAACACACCTTTGACCTCATTGCGCCGCAGTGCTCGTAGAGTGAACTGAAGTCGAGTGCCTGGAATCATGAATACTGGGGAAGGAGGGCCCAATGAAACAGCTTCCGCCACAGTAAGAGTAATGATATGTGATAAGTTCTCAAAGCCTGGCTCCACAAAATGTGCAGTAACCTTTTCTTGGCCTGCTCCAACACCTCGAACCACATACAAATCCGATCCAAGCCCCTGCGTAAAAATCAAAGTAAATGCCAATGAGCAATTGCATAGACAGATAGAAAGTTCGGTACTCCACTGGTGTTCAAGTAAGTCCTATACACTCGGCTGATACAAAATCATTGTGTGTGCTTTTCTACTGTTTGATTGTTTCTCATGGGCTTAATTTGCAATGTAACATCGTGAAGTAGCTCGCTGACTATAATCATAAGAATACGATCTAAAAGATCTAACACCACGTTAACAGCTGCCTTAGGAAGTTGGTGATGTTCTAAGTAATAACATCCCAGATACATACTTCGTTGGAAATCAAAACCTGAGTGCCCAACTGATGAAATTGTTACACACATGAAAATACTTCTAGCAGGAAAACCAGGAGGAAAACCAATCGAGACACTGTTGGATATACAAGACATCAATATACGGACCTTGCTTTAAAGTTTAAAAAGATTAATGTTGTCATAGCTGGATTATATGATGCCGGCAGAGAGACTTACATTCTGCTCCAATTCAATTTGATCCTCGATCTCGCCATCAATAAGAGATGTATGCTTAAGAGGGACGTGCAAAAGCCGGTGGGACGTGTCACCTGTCTGACTCAGCGGTGAAAGTTGCCACATGAACTGCAAGCCCGCCAACGCAGAAAATACATTGTCTGAATCGCAACCAATCTAACGTGTTAGCTTTCTTCTTGAATATGATTAGTATCTACCAGATGCAACTGCCATATCACATATCCCATTTCGTGGGATCAAACCAGATCCATTTACAGGTATCCACATACTCAATAAATTCAAAAGAAAGATGCAAGAATTCTCCCTCAACCAACAACAACCGTTATCCAGGTGAGGGTATTCTTCATCGCTATCATATCTCCACAAGGGCTCAGATTTCAACCATATACTTCATGAGAAACACAAGTTTACGAGACAAACGATTCTATAAACTAAAACCATCCATGCACAAATGCCAACGGGACAATAATTATAAAACTCGTAGTCTCAAAAGCATAGACCATGTTAAGTCATTTACCTTCAGTATCAAAAGCTCGAATGCGCAGTGTGGCTAATCCGTCCAAATCCAGCTTGAGCGAATGATGGAAAATTTGAATTCGCGATATCTTATCAATAAAAACCTCACATCGCAGAATTTGGCCTGTCACGGAGTCGGTTGCATGCACAGCAGTGGTCTTACGTCCAGTAAATGGAGCAATCGATGTAAGCACTGCACTGGTGGAGCAATTCTTGTCTGTGCCATTGTATTGGGCGTCAACTTGAAGAATATCATGATGATCCCAGGTCCTGAATTGCGAGGAACCATCAATAGGAAAGAATCGTTAGGATAGGTCACCATGAAGATTCACAACAACGAAGGAGAATTCGCTACAGGAGCCTTATTTTGAAAAAAGTGGAATGAGCATTCTCAACTACAGAGTTCTGGCGTATGATCAAGAACTTTTCTTTCTATAAGGACCAACTTAATCTGCACATCGAAACTTCACTAAAGCATACCTTAAGCAATAAAAATGTACAGTAGCAAAATTGACTTTTTCTAGACATAGAAACCAGAGTCCAGTGGAAAAAAGTAGCACACAATTATGAGATAAATACAGCCTAGGCTTTCCAGGGACAAACATAATTAGTCAAGAGACAGTATGCGTAGTTATCTTGATTTTGCAGTTTCTTAGATAAAAGCCACAGCAAGGCAGACCATCAATTCTTCGTATCACAATGGGAACTTTTGGTGAAAATACTAATGCAACTTCTCACTCTTCCTTCATACACGCTCAGAAGCACATGCAACAATCTCTAAGACGAACTTGTAGCAATTGACAAGTGGACAACACTAAGACACTCCGAACCACGACGTCTATCATTCTGCCATGGCATTCAATCTTACACAACGAACATGCAAAGTATCTAGCAAGGAGTAGCAAGAAAGATCTTCACGGTTGAAGAGACACAAACCAGGTGAAACAGCCGTTATAACCTTGCAGATGATAATGAACGGGACGAGAACTGCGAGGAGGAAGAAGGACATTTAAATTGCTTATGTGTGGACCATGCTGTACAATTCCAACTGCCGCAACGAGCCCACTCGAGTCCCAAGCACACAGGAATTGGAGGAACACAAGCAAGGCAACAAACGGATGAATCCGCTTTCGCGACTGACAAGGCCACACCATCCCTCGTTTCTCGCGCATCATCCTCCCCAGCTAATTGCCACGACCCGACAGCTCCACACCCGCCGAACGACAACACCTCGGGGACAAATGCTCGACCATCCACGTCCGAGAGTCCGCAAAATCAAAATACAAGCAGCACTCCCTGGTCATGATCACTCAGCCTCCATGGCACACACTGCGCACTCATTTCCAGCTCCTCTCCATCGAACAGAACACACTCAAATCTCGGTATCTTGTCAACCGAGAGGAGTATCTCCTCGACTCGATAGATGGAAACAAATCACCCAGCCCACCCCCGGACTAGGTAAAGCAACAGATGCAGAGGAGGACCACGCCTGAAGTGCAAGAAGCGATGACCTAACTCAGCGCAGCAGCAACGGGTGACCGCAACGAGAAGCCCGAGGCAAGGTTGCGCACAACTGTGCAGCCATCGCCCGGAGGTTTTATAATGTACGAGACCTCAAAGCAGGGCCGGGAGTTCAAATTGTGTCGCTAGCGACGACGACGTTGTTCGTCTTCGTCAAATCTCTGTGTAAAGCCCCGAAGCCAAGTCCCCCTCCACCTTCCGTCCGTGAAACTTAAGAATTCTCCCTCCTCGTATGTATACTGGTTGTGGGGTCTCTAGCATTACTTGCTTTGCACCAGGGGGAGGGGGGGGTTCACACTTTGCTACAGTTCTACAGTCGTCACAGGTTGGGCTCTCTTCCTGCTTCTCGTGTATCGGAGTCTCTTACTACCTGAACAGCGTGCAGTGTGTCGAAGTTGCTCTTCTAATGCTCATTGGTGCATATGATTAGGTTGTGAAGAGATGTTTTAGAAAAACAATGTATGTATGTAAGGGATTTAATTGTAACTAAATTCATTGCCAAAAAGAACTGTGTCAGGAATTCAGGACAATATTTGTATTTGAAAAGGTTTACAAGTTGGAATTGGTAGTGAGGTCCATGGATTCAAGCCTTTTTGTGTGATGTTTTACTTTCACATGGATATGTGTATGTGTGTATATGTATATGTGTATATTCAACACTTGTTTTTTCTTTTGAATTAATTTATATTATTAAGTTGTATTCCATTTATGTAGATAGGAATATATATATATATATATATATAAGCATATTTTAAAGATTATTTTTCAATAGGAAGGCAAAATTGCCCAAAAAGGTATATGTATAGACTCAAATACAAACTGCAAACTAAAACAAGAACACATCAAAGTACTTTAATATAATATAAAATTAAATTAAAAGCAAAAAAATCAACAAAATATAATTATGTTTAAATTTATATTGAAAGGTAATTATTAAGCATTTTTTTTATAGATTCATAATGCTTTAATACAACAGAAACATTTGCCATCCGTCATATCATTTATATAGTTTAATTATTCTATTATTCATTTTTAATATTTTTATTATTCATTTATTTGGCAATGTGATTGATTTCAATCTCCATGAGCTTTCAATTACACTACTATTTTTGGCTATGGAGTTGAAAAGCAAAGAATTAGGTTTGCATTTTCTTCTCTAATGAGCCATCTAACAACATAGTTGGAGTCTTTTTTGGAGGATATTGACTATAATTGGGACAATTTTCATAAATATGGTTGCAACTATGTTGATTGCTTCAATTTTCACAATTTAATTGCCAATATTGGAGCATATTTTCATTAATTTTCTATGCTTAAAAATATTATCATTAATACCTATTGTTGTCAATGTTCCTTGCCACTTAATCATTTTGGATTTGACCTCATATTCAAGACTAGACAGTTTAATTCTAAGTCCATTCAATGACTCTTTCTCTGGATGCATCTAGTAGACTAATTGTTAAGCAATTTGTCCCAATTTGCTCTTGTCCTTTTATAAATCTCATTTTGAATAAATCGCACTCATCCATCTTCTATTCCTAAACATTAGGCATTATATATTGAATAGTTGTTATTCACATTGTAACATAGGATGACACTACTTGTACCAAGGTTAATAATTTACTTGTTATCTTAATTTAAAACTCCTCAGCTTTGTATTAGTTATAATTAAGCTATACTTAATTTGCTAAATTCTAAGCTTTAGTCATGTGAAAATTAAAATTGAAGGTCTTGTTAAGGTATAAGAGCATATAGGAAATAATTGAAACCAAAATTCTATGTATGACATTTCTAAATTAGATTGGAGGACTAAATTACACATAGGTCCAATTTTGACAGTTGAAAAAGAAAGCATTGAAAATACTAATCTTGTCAATTAACAATGATCTTATGGATATTATAGATAAATACAATGATTAAGCTGATACTTAGACTGTATTACAAAACAAATTTTATTTAAATGATGTTTTGTAATTTTTGTTACTATCTACAAAATTGTTTAACATAAGATTAGTAGAAAGAGAATTAATAGAAGAATATTTGAAGAATACTTATAACATGAAGAATCATTAATCTTCAACAACTATTTGTTAATTTGATACTATTTCAATTGATCTTCTATGGATTATTTCAAAGCTTTGAAGGACTAATTCAATTAATATGTGCAACTGATATATTGCCAAAATTCACATCTTTATCTTCCAAACTTCTGAAAAAAGCACACAAAAAGATCCTTAGAAATAAACAACTTAGTAATGAAGAAACACTATAATACCAATTCAACTCATTTAATATTAGAAGAAGAAGAGGTGGATGATATTATGAAAGATGATCAAACAACTATAGAAGAAGATCTTACATGAATCAAAGAAACTACAATAGATGTGTTTAATCAAGTGGATCTCAATACTAGTGACTTTTAAGTTCTAATTTATTTCAATGTTATAAGTGTAAAGGTTATAATTATATAGCCTATCATTGTTGTCAATAATATACAAACTAACCTATATTAGATCAAGAGATAATTAAATGTCAATCCATCATTCAAAATCAATCCTAAAATCAATACTATTAAAAAAAAAAAAAAAAAAAAAAAAATTAAAGATCTAAAATTCAACAACAAAAAATATTGAAGTAGCTCTTATCAAAACATCCAAGTCATTTGAGACAAAGCAAACATAGGCAACATCAAAGTTAATAGCAAACAAGAAGAAAGAAAATGAAATAACAATTGATTAAGCAATCAACAAGATTAAAAGCATGCATTGGAGCTCACTACTTGAAACTAAGTAAAATTCAAAATCAACCTTGTTGAAAATTGACTTATACATTCATGAGTCAACTAATTTACCTACAATAAAGATGAAGATAGTCATGGCTGCTACTCATTATTTGACTATCACATAACATATAAAAGAGACTCCTACCAAGGATCACAAAAACACATAAAGTTCATATAAAGAAACAAAACAACGTTGGTTTTTAGACTTAGCTACTACATATTACATACTTGGAGACATAAAAAGAATAAAACATTTGAAATCAATTGCAAGAAGATATATTTATATGATAAAAAAATCTCATTAAATCACTTGTATCAGCAATAATACTATATATATAAGTCAAAATAGTAGAATAAATCTTATCAAAGTTTTTTTTTATATGAAAAACTTGAAATAAAATTTGATCTCAATTGGATGCCTTATTGACTTAGGACATGTGATTAAGTTTTCTAATGAAAATAACTGAATATTGAATAATGATGTAGGAAAAAAAAAAAAACTTTGTCCATTGAAAAGTACAATATAATAGACTTTATAAGAAATATATTATGAATTCCCTTGTAAGCCTTGGAGAAGATAAAAGGTCAATAAAAATGTGAGATTGACATTTCATGCATTTGAACTATATGTCAAGGATATGAATATTAAACAATAAAAATCTCAATATATTTTTTTGTCATCTAAAAAAAATAGATATTCAATCAAAAGTATTAAAACTAAAATGGCTATTACCAAAGACAAGAAGATTAGAGACTCTTGAAATAAGACTAAAAATAAGAAATGCATTGATAAGAGTGAAGAAAATTTTACTTTTGCCTCTATATATACTATCTAATTAAGAACTATGTGAGAATATTCTATAAGATCTTCGACATACATCCAACTTATAAGACACATGTCTAACTTGTAAGATAAGTTTTATACATGCATGCCACATGGCCAACAAGTCACCAACATGTATACCATAAGTCACTAATATATATAACAAGTGGTTAATTTGGTAACTAAGTATCCAACCTATCAATCAATCCTAAACACATATAAAATCAAATTTGTATCCATGAAGCTTTTAAGAAGCTTTTCCATAAGATATTATAAAATTAACTTATATTTACCTTCTATATAATATTTCTTATTTAAATAATTATGTATGTCTATGATACTATGAATTTAAATCACATATCAAGAAAATATAGAACATAAAGATTATCAAGATTAGAACCACTAAAAGACATATCTAAAGATTATTTAGTTGGAAAACAACATAGAGAAAGATTTCCAAAAGATTCACTTCATTGAATTACTATGATCTTAGAATTAATGTATTTTGGTCTTGTTGGAGTACTTCTTATACCATTTTTATAAAGCTTATAATACTTTGTAGTATTAATAAATGATTTTTTTTTTAAAAATAAATCTTAGATAATTTTTCTTACATGTTAAATAAAAAAAAACTTTTAAAAAATTCAAACTACTCAAGAAATTTATTAAATATGAAATAAAAAAGAAAGATATGCCAACTAAGAACAAATGAAGGAAGAGAATTAATGTCCACTAAATTCAAGAATTATTGCAACATGCACAAAATTCAAAAACAATTGTCTTCATCTCTTATTCTAAAATAGAATAGTCTGGCTAAAAGAAGAAATCACAATCTAGTTGAAAGAACAAGAAATATGATATTAGAATGTAAAATATCCATATAATTGTGAAGTGAAGCTATAAGCACGACCAACTTCTTTATCAATCCAAGTCCATCAATTGCAAATTATGAGGAATCACACCTAAAAAAAAATTCAACAACAAAAAATATAGTGATAAGCAAAGATGTAATTTTTAATGAAAAAAATTGGAATTAATTTATATACTTCTAATCAAGACATCAAAAAACCTTGTAATTCCTCTATTTGAGACTAAAAAATCAAACTAACTTGCTAAAAATGATTTAATTCAACCCCATTATAAAGCTTTTCAACTTTTCTTTTATATAGAAGTATCATTAGAACTAACAAACTGTCAAGGACAAGAACTCGATGAAAAAATAATTCAGATAAGTGAGCCTTCACTCAAAGAGAGGTAACAAAATATATATAAATAAGGATATATATTGAAAGAAAAATTGAAATGGCTATTGCCAAAAGACAAGAAAACTAGAGACCCTTGAAACTAGACTAGAAGCAAGAAAGGAGTTGACAAGAGTGAAGAAGGCTTCACTCTTGTCTCTATATGTACTATCTAACTAGAGGCTACGTGGTGACGTTCTATAGGACCTCCAATATGTGTTGACTTTGTAGGACACATGCCTTAGCTTACAAGTCAAGTTCTTCTACGTGTGGGCCACATAGTTAGCTTGATCTTCAAGCTAACAACATGTGTGGCACATGGCCAACTTGTTGACCACGTTTCTAATCCAAAAAATCAATTAAAGACACCTATGAAGTCAAAGCAC